CCCGGTGGACTTCAACTCCCAGAATTCTGCTGGCTGGGCGATTCTGGGAGCTGAAGTCCACCGGGTCTTAAAGTTGCAAAGTTGGACACTTCTGCTTTAGGGAGGAAAGCCCCTGGCTGTTGGTGTCCCCCCTCCCTGCCCCCCGCTTAAAATGTTCCCCAGGAACCCTCTCCAGGACCAGCAGAGCTGGCTGGGGAATCCTGGGAGTTGAAGTCCAGCAGTTTTAAAGTTGCAAAGTTGGGACACTTCTGGTTTAGGGGGAAAAAAAACTCCTGGCTGTTGGTATCCTCCCCCCTTAAGAAGCCCCCCCACCCCAGGAAAGCTCTCCAGGAACCAAGGTCAGGGTTTGGATGTGGAAGGGGGGAGGATCACCGTGCCAGCCCCACACACACACACACACACACAGACACACGGTGCCGGGGGCTCAGTGGCAGCCGCAGCTGCCGGCCACCATGCCGTCGTACTGCTTGAGGACCACCGTCTCGTCGTCGTCAAAGTAGAGCAGGTTGATGGAGTAGAGCTTGTCCGGGACGCAGCAGGGCGTCTGCACCTCCGGGCTGAGCTTCAGGGCGTGGATGATGGACTGGACGGTGGCGTGGTTGGTGGGCCGCATGCTCTGGCCCAGCGGGAAGCGGCAGGTGCCCTTGCAGTGGAAGGCGTTGTAGCCCCGCGGGGAGATGACCCAGCCGGTCCAGCCGATCTCGTCGAAGTCCACCGGCAGCGGGTAGCGCTGGCAGGGCAGGGAGCTCTCGGCCGAGCGGGCACCCCGGGTCCGGTTGGAGGGGGGCTCGGGGGGAGGCGGCAAAGCTGCACGGGGGGGAGAGGGGCAAAGAAATGGCTCACATCCCCGCTTGGCATCTCGGCAGCGGCTTCAGGAGCAAAGCTGGGGGGGGGAGTTATCTTCTAAGGGGTGTAAGGCTGTGCCCCCCTCCCCACAATGCCCGGCGGGGGGTCACTCACCGGGGAAGCCGCTGGGCAAGGCGGCCGCCCGCCGCCCGTCGTCGGTGAACAAGACCAGCATGGGCTTCTTGCTGGCGTGGTGGTCCCGGCCCGAGGCGAACTGCACGGCGTGGGGGTCCAGGGGGGCCCCGGCCAGGCCCTGCACCGTCACCAGCAGGCCCTGGTTGCTGCCCTCTTCGGCCACCCAGTCGCGGACCTGGAAGGGGGGGAAGCGTCAGGGGGTGTCCTGCGGAGCTCAAGTGAGCGAGCCAAGCCCCAGCCAAAAGCCCCCCCTCCCTCCGTCCCTGCTTCTCAGCCCCCCACCCATGCACGTCCGGCAGCACTGACCGCCTGGGTGATGGAGAAGACCTCCCAGCCGAAGCCCTGCAGGGCCAGCAGCCGGGCGGAGAGCAGCTTCTTCCCCCGGGGGGCCTCCGGGTGGTCCTTGCCCAGCACCTGGTAGACGCTCACCTGGGGGGGGGATGAGAAAGGGGGGGGGG